AACACAAGTCCATTTGGTGTTCGAGTAATTTTTACTCCCAAAATGACATCCGCGAGACCCATATCTTTCATGTCAAACTTCGAATTTAACATATTCTTAGTGGCTTTGATAATCTTGTCAGAGCTACCGATAATGAGCATGTCGTCGACATATAGACCTAGTATGACATATCCATCATTAGTGTCCTTAACATAAACACACTTGTCGCACTCGTTAATTCTAAAACCACTAGAAAGCATAGCATTATCAAACTTCTCATGCCATTACTTCGGTGCTTGCTTCAAACCATACAATGATTTAACCAACCTACAAACTTTTCTTTCTTGACCTAGAGCTGTAAACCCCTCTGGTTGCTCCATGTAGATTTCTTCATTCAAATCTCCATTTAAGAAAGCTGTTTTTACATCCATCTGATGCATTTCCAGATTTCGCAAGGCCGCAATAGCAATTATCATCCGGATAGAAGTTATTCTCGACACAGGAGAATAAGTATCAAAGTAATCTAAGCCTTCCTTTTGCTTATAACCTTTGATTACTAGTCGAGCTTTATATTTATCAATGGAGCTATCCGCTTTCATCTTCTTCTTGAAGATCCACTTGTAGCCCAAAGGCTTACAGCCTGGTGGAAGATCTACTAACTCCTAGGTATGATTTTGTAGAATGGAATCGATTTCACTTTTGATGGCTTCTTTCCACAAATGACCATCTGGAAAAGATATAGCTTTTTATAGCTTTGAGGATCATTCTCCATCAAATATGTGAGAAAATCAGGGCCAAACGTCTTAGAAGTTTTGGTCCTTTTGCTCCGTTTAGGCTCATCCTCACCTTCAACTGGATCTTTACTGCTACCAGAAGCAGAAGATTTCATTGTCCATTTAATAGGAGTTAACTATTTAGGAGACTTAAAAGGAAATATATTCTCAAAGAATTGTGCATTCCTAGACTCCATAATCGTGTTCGGATGAATATCAGGTACATTCGAATAATGCACAAGAAACCTATATGCGCTACTATTTTGTGCATAACCAATGAACACACAATCAACTGTCTTAGATCCAATTTTGACCTTCTTAGGAGAAGGCACCACAACTTTAGCAAGACACCCCCACATTCGTAAGTATTTATATGAACGTGTCCGATTTGTCCAAAGTTCATACGGAGTCTTATCCATATTCTTTCTTAACATTTTATTCAAGATGTAATTTACGGAAATAATAGCTTCTCCCCACATGTTCTGTGGTAATCCAGAACTAATCAGCATAGCATTCATCATTTCCTTTAAAATTTTATTCTTACGCTCAGCAATTCCGTTTTGTTGAGGTGAATAAGGTGCAGTAGTTTGGTGAATTATTCTATGTTTAGCACAAAATTCACCAAACGATGATTCATATTCACCACCACGATCACTCCGTAGCACCTTTATTTTCTTACTAAGTTGATTTTCAACTTCATTCTTATAAAGAATAAATTTATCGATAGTTTCGTCTTTGCTTTTAAGCAAGTACACATAACAATATTTCGTGCTATCGTCGATAAAAGTAATAAAATACTTATTACTGCCTCGTGTTTGGACAGATTTCAAGTCACATACATCACTGTGGACTAGTCCCAATGGCTCGATACTTCTTTCAATACTATGAAACGAAGACCTAGTAAGCTTAGATTCAACGCATGTTTCACATTTATGATTTGAATCAATTTAAAACCTAGGCAAATAATTTAGTTTGCTTAGTCTACGTAAAGTATTATAATTTATGTGACATAATCTACCATGCCACAAATTAGGAGACTCAAGCAAGTAAACAGAAAGAGTTTTCTCATTACTCATAACAGTTGGAGTTATAGCAATTACATTCAATTTAAACAGGCCATCAGTCATATAGCCTTTCCCAACATAAACTCCTATTTTGGTAATCACCAGCTAATCCGCCTCAAAGACCATGCGGAACCCATTCTTGCTCAAAAGAGACCTAGAGACCAGATTCTTGCAAATCTCTGGCACGTACAGCACATTAGTCAGAGTAAGCTTTTTGCCAGATGTCATCTTCAGGATCACCTTGCCTTTACCAAGCACTTCATCACCTTGCCTTTACCGAGCACTTCAGAAGTTGTAGAGTTTCCCATGAACAACTTTTCACCATTTGTAACTGGTGCAAAAGTAGTGAACATGTTCATGTTGGAGCAGACATGGCAAGTAGCCCCAGTGTCCAGCCACCACTCCTTTGGATTAGACCCCACCGGTTAACCTCACTAATCATCGCCATGAGGTTTACCTCAGATATTTCATCTGAGAGATGATCTCTCTCATTTCCAACCATATTAGCCAGAGGACACTGCTTATTATCCCTTCGAGGCTGACGGCAGTCTGCTGATCGATGCACAACTTTGTCACAATTGAAGCACTTTCCATTGAACTGGAACATAGGTTTCTTTCCTATCCCACCTGCAGGCTTCAACTGAGACCCTTTCATAGCTGTTTTTTATCTTTTCAATTTTCGTTACCCTGTTTGGCTTTAAAGGAGTGAACTTTCTTAGTACCAGAACTTTGGCCGTACCCCAATACATTAGCCTTCTCAGAGTAAGAATTCTCTGACTTACGTTCAGCCCGTTTGTTATCCTCCTTTATGCGCAGCTTGATAATTAAATCCTCGAAAGATATCTCTTTCCTCTTATGCTGCAAATAGCTTTTGAAAGCCTTCCACTGAGGAGGTAGCTTGTGAATAGAAGTAGCCACCTGTAGAGATTCTGACATGGTCAGACCCTCAGCATGCATTTCTTGCAAAAGCACTTGATACTCCTGCACTTAGCTCACCACTGAACATGAATCAACCATTTCGAAGTCCATACACCGATTAGCTAAGAATTTCTTAGATCCGGCATCCTCGATCTTGTATTTTTTTCTAAGGACTCCCAGAGCTCCTTAGCAGACTTCTTTACCACATATACGTGATACAGAGAATTCTGTAGGCCATCCAAGAC